TTAGTAGTTGTAGCTTCTCCTTTGTGTGTCTCTGAATCCTTGTTGTATTGCTCCCTGTAAAGCTGAGAGACCTTTGAACCTAGTATGGAATTGAGGAAAGACATCTTTAAGTTGCTAATACAGCACTTCAGGAGGGTCTCTTGTGGGTTGAAATGCTATTTCTGAAGATAATAACTGAGGTTGACCCTGATATCTTCCTTCTAAATCGACTAAATTGCAATTTCCTTGAGCAGTCACGTTTGGTTTTTCTTTGTGCGATACTTTGTTGCAAAGGCTCTGAGCCCGGGGCTTTAGGAGACAAAACAAGGATCTACCATAAAGCGGTTTGGTGTTTTTTATTGTCCAGAAAGAATACGTAAAAATTTAAAGTTGGGCAAAATTCCAGCTCAAGACAGGGGTTTATTTTTATCTGCTTGGCGTTTGAGTTGAGTCAGGTTCTTCTCTTGTGGATGCTCAGGAGTGGTCTCCGCAAGCTGTCAGTCTTGGGCCGACCTTCAAGGGATCTCAGGGGAAGTGAGAGACCACTGAGCATCTCTAGGGAGGGGACCCGTACAATGGGCAGGGAGGCGCTGTCGGCTTCTAGGCCTGTAGAAGTGGTGCGGGATTTTTTGCTGTTCTTCAGGAAGATGGTAAATAACAGAGCCAACCGAAAGGCAGGGCAGCACTCGGGTTTATAGGAAGAGAGCTGGTTCGTACCTGCACATCAGCACTGTCGGGGATCCTTGTGAGGACCGGAGAGGTTGGGATCCATGAGTGGCTGCTTCGTGTAGTTGGAGCTTGCAACTTCTTTTCTTTCCTGTTAGAATTCAGTGGAAATTTACCTAATGGGAAAGCTGGTGAGTAAGGTGATACCCGTAAGTTTGGTAAATAATAATTACATTTCTGTGACATGCAGGGTCCTGATGGAGGAACCAATAGCCAGTGGGGAGGCATGAAGGTACAGAGACAGACTAGGAGGCAGGGGTTAGGCCTGCCTGCCTGCAGTGGGCCCTGGCTCGTTCTCAGAGGGAGTCATTGAATTGGGAGCAGGGAGCAGGAATCTGGGTGACAGGCAGGGACTGTACCTTGAGGTACGAAAGCTCAGGTAAGCAGGGCCGTATGAGTTAAGGACCAGTGATGCTGGACATGTGATGGCCGTTTAAATGGCCGTTTGAGATTGCCATCTTTGTCCATGGACTTGTGACTGTCAAGTTTCCCTGCGCATGTAAATAAATACTGTTGTTCTGAGCCCAGATCCCTGGCTGGAATGCAGGATCTGTTTCTTACTCTGTGAACTCCGGTGAGTTACTGAACTGCTCTACGCTTCACTGTCCCTTCTGTGAAATGGGGTAAATAGGCTGAGTCTGTGGCATAGGCCTGTAATCCCAGAGACTCGGGATGTTGTACTGATCGTGAGTTCAAGGCCAGCCTGGGAGAGACACTTATCTCCAAATAAAAAACAAAACAAAGCCACCCAGGGATAATAAACCGTCTTCGTAGAGTTTGTAAAGGTTACGTGACCTAAACTTACTCTGTGAATTGAGGCAGCCACAGGACCTGCTCAGCAACAAGAATGCCCAGCAGAGGAGGTGGGGGGCCTCCATTTTAGCTATTTCTAAATTCTGAATTTTAAGGTCTCCAATTTTCACAGCGCAATTAGGGCAGACAACAAAAAGTTTAAGATGAGAACTAAAACCCATCACCTCTCTCTGATCCCAGCTCAGCTGTGGTGTCTTTTTAAGGGTATAGCATCTATTTCTGTTTTTAGGTGATTATTATTTTGAAAACAAAAACAACCTACCACAAAAGGTGGCTTAAGAATAGTTTTCTAGTCTTTACCAATGATTCTGTGGCAGGGTGATCCTGCGGAGGAAGTCACCCTGCCTGGCTCCCAGCTGGGGACTGAGCTTCTCTGGAGGGTCTTGGTCATCAGAAGGAGGCTGGGCTCACAACTGACCTCTGCTGGGAGGGCAGCAAGGTGACTTCATTTGTCTCCATGGTGACGGAGCTTGGTGGTCCCATGTAGTTGGGCTTTGCAGATGCAGGGTGGGTTTCTCCCATGGGTTAGTCTGGAGTGTTCCAGAGAGGGAAGAAGGGAGGGAGGGAGAGATAGATAGGTGATAGATAGATAGATAGATAGATAGATAGATAGATAGATAGATAGATAGACAGATAGATAGAGATTTTAAACTAAGGAATTAAATTCTGGAGATAGCTAGTGTAGAATCTGCAGTGTGGGCTGGCATATGTCACATCAGGCTGGGCATGATATAGGTGAAAACTGAAGAAATGGACTGGAGAATTCCCATCCCCGTCATGGATGATAATTTGATTTTCCTAGAGTTAGGTGACACTCTCCTCCAAAAGCAGCCTCTGAGTTCTCACTGAAAACCAACCGTACAGCGGGTAGTCCCACAAAGCAGGTGGAAACCCCCTTTACAACCCACTCTCAAAAGTTAGGTAGTGTCCTTGCTTTTAACAGCTGCCCAGACTTCAAGGGATGGGATAAGACCGTCAAAGCATTTGCTACCTTATAAAAGAGCTGTTTGTCTTCTATATTTGATGTCACAGATTTGCACCTCCCCCCATCCAGGACACAGTGGGGTTGATATCACCGCCCCGCTGGCTTCTTTCTTACAGTTTTATCTTGCTAGCTTTAGTTCCTCTAGTTGTCTTTATATTTTAGGCAAAGCATCCATCCTTTACGCGGCTCTGGTGATGTAAGGAGCCCAGGTTTGTTGACTGTTCCTTGTGTGTATGGGAGGGACAATGAAGGAGGAGAACAATGGAATTGGCTTGGGTGAGTGAGAGCTGACCTTGCAGCTCCTGTGAAACCACCCCCCTCCTTCCCCAGGCACTGGAGATGGAGCTGTCTTTGCCCAGGGCAGGTGGGGTCCTGAGAATAGCCAGCAGCACCACCTGATGGATTTTATTTCCCCCTTAGGCTTTTAAGCTTAGACCTGTTTGCTTTTTCCAGTCTTACGCTTTTCATTTAAATGATGGATGCTGGAAATGACATTCTCAGTATGAAGACTCTTGGGACAGGCGCAGTTCTAAGCCGTGTCTGTGGATGTGCACGCAGAAAGGCTTGTTAAGAGTAAGCATCCTCATGCTAATTTCATTACAGAAGCAATCGGTTCATTAGAAGCAATTCTAGTGTAGTGTCAGGAGCCCTGTAGCTCAGAAGAAGGTGGCTTTTAAAAAAATTCATTTAGTTAATGGAATTGGGCAGTGGAGCTTACACTAAGTCTCAGAAGACTCACTAATCCCTGTTTGTATTAGCCGAGCCCCGAGGAGCATGGAACTGCTACTCTTGTTGGGTTGCATTGACACACTGCAGATAAAACCATTTCCAGTGTTTCTTACAATATAAATGTTGGCTTGATTTGAGACTCATATTTGTGGATGTTTGTGTTTCAGTTTGGGTCTCTTGGCTCAGATTTTCTGTCTCTGTCTCACTTTGTCTCTCTTTCTGCACCAAACCCTCTCGAGACCATTCGGTGACAGAGTCTCTCATGTAGCCCAGACTGACGGCAAAACTGGAGATCCCCTTGCCTCAGTTTACCGCGCCTGCCTTTTGTTTACTCTTTAAGGGAAAATGTGAGAAAACAGAGCAGGCACAGCGGTCAGGTCTGAAAGCGTTTTCTCCTTCGCTTCCTTCCTCCATCTTTGTGTTCAGGCCAACAGCCCGGCCCTTGGCTGTAGAGGCAGCAGCTGGTTGGGATTGCCTCTCCTTTATTACCAAACTCTCCCTCTTCCTTTCCCCAAGGAAGCCAGAGATCAAGCTGCCCATCTTTGTATTGTGGTCCCTTACGATCTCTACGCTTATCTCTGATATCTAGATTAATTTTGTCTGTTTTGAGTTTTATGTACGTAGTATCACAGAGTGTGACTTTCCATGCCTGTTTTTTTTTTTCTCTCTCTCTCTGTTGTGTTCCTAAGATGAATCTCCCCTGTCGTATGGGGTTATGGGTTGGTTGTTCATGCTTGTTGCTGTGTAGTGTTCTATATTTTGGATATCCTACTCTTTATCATCTTACTGTGGATGGCATGAGCTGGTTGCCCCTTTGAGGCTAATATAAATAATGCTATTGTGATGACTCATCTTGGTTGTCCACTTGGTACACTTGTGAAGAGGGAACCTCAGCTGAGGAATTGCCTCCTCGGATGGCCCTGTGGATGCGTCTGTGGGTATTTTCTTGGTTGATAATTGATGGAGGAGGGCCCAGCCCACTGTGGGCAGCACCATTCTTAGATGATAGGTGGTCCTGGGTTGTTTTTAAAAAAAAAAAGAAATAAAAAGGAAAGGATATGACTGGGTTTTTGGCACCAAATGAATGAAAAAAAGAAATGAAAAGGGAAGGAAAGGAAACACTGCTCTTAGGTATGGTGGAGGAGGGTGTTTATTGCAGATATGTGGGAGAGCATAACCAGAGGCAGAGACAGAGACATCTGGGGGAGTCCAGAGTGGACATGACCAGACTGAGCTGTGCCGTGTTAGAAGAGGGGGTTGGGGGGAGGATAAGGGAGAGAGGGGAACTAGGTACAGCAGCCAGGAGGCCAAAGGTACAAAGAGAGCAGCGAACTAAAATGGTTGGATTGTATGGGGAAGGGCAGCCCAGCCCCCCCCTCACCCCCCAGGCTGGAGAAGTTCAAGGTAGGGGGCAGGGTATGCTATCCTGGAGGGCCCTGTAACAAACAGGTAGGGACTGAGGGATGCTGGGAGGAACCTGGCCAGGTTCACTTTGATGTGTTAAATAAGGCGCCTCAGCCTTTTGTCCCAGCTTCCGAAGCTTAACAGGTTGTATAAGAAAGGTAGATGAGCCACACCGAGGAGTGAAACCCTAACCATGGTCTCTGCTTCAGTTCCTGCCTTCAGGTTCCTGCCCTGCCTTCCCTCAGTGATGGACTGGTACCCGGAAGTGTAACATGAAACAAACTCTTCCCACCCCAGTGTTTGTCACACCAACAGAAAAGAAATTCGGACACTGTCGGGAAGCAGTTTTGTGCCACTTTTATTGTTGAACATACATGGGCATCTGTTTTGGAAATGGTTGGGCCTGGACTTGAACGTGGGTAGGACTTGCCGAAGTGGCTTTGCTGGTGCCTACTCTGGACGTCGGTGTGTGAGCTCCACTGGCCCTGCTTTTATATTCGTGTCGAGGTTTGCAATCGTCCATGGCCTTGGTTTAGCTGTGGAAGTGCATGTTATTGAGATTTCCAGACTTCTCATGGAGACAAGAACCCCAAAAGATTCATATTCTTTTTCTGTGTTAGCATGATGAAATAGAAACCAGAGCAGTTACAGAGTTCATGCAGAGCTGGGCATGGCAGAGGGCACTGCACACCCAGCCTTTGGTGAGGTCTTGAGTTCTGGGCCAGTGACCCAGCCAAGCAGCCAACCACCGGGAGGCTTTGTATCAGTTCTTTATAGCTGCTCCTCCATGCCACAAAACTCACCCTTTTTTTCATTTTTTTTCAAGGGATTTATGTCTAATCGAAATTGAAAGATTAGAAATGTATTAGATAAACCCAGCTCATTCTGAGAGTATGATATGTTTGAGAGCTGATACTCATTGTGCTATTTCAACTTTTATATTGTGCTAAATTAGTTCATTGGTTTTTTGCCTCCTGAGGTGACATTTTTTTACAGGGGATAGCGTCTGAGTCCTGCTGGGGAGTGGGTTAGGACGAGAGAGGGGGGAGGAGGAGGGGAGGGATAGGAGGAGGGAGGGGAAGGGATAGGAGGAGGGAGGTAATGGAGATTCTTACAGAGGGTGGGGCTTGTCAGCCCAGGGTCAGGTGATAGTGTGAAGAATCCCAGGCATGGAGTTTTTGATGCCGCTTGGAAAAAGAAGGATGTTGTTGTAGGAGTGTAGCCTGTCGGATAGAGAGCTCCGTGTGCGTGATTTATTTCCTGGTGACTGTTTTGAATTTACCCCTTCAATTTCAGGGCTCCTGTTTGGTCTTCTCTGTTGATTTTGTTTGTTTGCTTGCTTGTCTTCACCCCCCCCCCCCCCATAGCCCTGGCTGCCCTGGAACTCTCTCTGTAGACCAGGCTGGCCTCGAACTCACAGAGATCTGCCTGCCTCTGCCTCCTGAGTGCTAGGATTAAAGGCGTGCGCCACCACCGCCCGGCCTCAGTTGATTCTTTTTAAGGACCTATGCCTCTTTAAGAGTGCCATACATGGGGCAGGAGAGGTGGCTCAGCAGTTTAGAGCACCGGCTGCTCTTCTAGAGGACCCGGGTTCAATTCCCAGCACCCACACGGCAGCTCACAACTGTCTGTAACTCCAGTTCCAGGGCATCTGACACCTTCACACTAATACACATCAAATAAAGTTAAAAAAAAAAAAAAGAGTGCCATGCACAGCTAGCATTCAACTGGCTCTAATTCGTTCACGTATTCCCTTGGCCCTTGCAAATTAGTATGAGCAAGGAATGGATGCCTGTGATCTGAAATTCCTATGACTTACTTGTGAGGACTGCCCCTGTTGCTTGGTGAGTGTGATTCCTGGGCAATGTAAGAGGGAATCTGGGCTTCAACCTGGGGTGCAGAGTCCGATTTTTGTCTCTAGAGACATCCATCCCCTTGGCTTCCTTCAGAGCTAGAACTCAGGAGTGGGGGGTAGTTCGCCGAACCCCTGTCAAGGAAAGGCTGTTGGAGAGACACAGATGAAGAAAACCTTAGCTCTGGCGGGCTCTCTGGGACATCGGAAGACGTTTAGATTGCCCGCTGCGGATGGGACCTTCTGTGTGTTGTTTTTGCCGGTTCCCTGTGAGTTCGGTCTTCTGGGAGGCAGTGGAGGGTGGTTACGGCTCCAGGACTGGGTCTCAGAATTGGTGGTGGTGCTGGGAATTAATACAGACACAGGGAGGTGCTAGCCAGAGCCCCCGACTCATGGCTGTGCCGGGAGGGAGGAAAAGCAGGGCGGCCCCAAATAGGCATTCAGAAATATTGGTTAAAACACATTTGAGCTATTTTTTATCAGCAGACATGCCTGAAGGTTCTGCTTTACCGGTCACCACTGTGGTGGGTCAGGCACTGGGTGGTACCTGTCCCTTGCCCGAGGAATCCCTTGTTTCCATCAGCTAACCCTTACCATTTAAGATTTATAGTTGTCCCCGTGAAGTGTGACCCCAGCCACCAAGCATGCTTCTGAACCCTTCTTGTGTCCCCTCATTCCTGTCCCCTCACCCCTTTCTCTGGTGAAGTTAGAGTCGCCAGGGAGCAAAGCATCATGTCCCTCCAGTTCAGGAGGGTCTGGATCAGTTTTTAGCAAAAAGAGAAACAGACATGTTTCATTTTGGGTTTCTTGTAGCCATCCTCAAGAAACAAAATTCCCGAGGGTGTTCCCCAGGACACAGGAAAAGCCAACTGACGGCCTTTGTGGCCTGGCCCCCAAGCTCATTTTACCTGCTGGAGGATTCAAGAGTCTCACTGGGACACAGAGTGTCTCTTTGATAGAGGGAAGGCTGTACCAGCAATTAACTTCTCAAGTGGCCAGTTGGAGAAGAAAAACAAAAACCCACTGAAAAATGGAGGACGTGGTGGCACATGCTTTTTTAACCCCAGTACTCGGGAGGCAGAGGCAGGTGTCTTCTCTGTGAGTTCAAGGCCAGTGTGGTCTACATAGCAAGTCCCTGCCTGCCAGAGGGAAAAATTGTCACACCTGCTCCTGTACAGAAGCAAAGGAGGTCCTAAAGCTCAGGGGCCCCGGACTTTATACAGCGTAGCAGTCATTTTCAAAGAAAACATGTGGTAAGCCTCTGGCCTCACGTCTAGTTTGCCCAGATACCGGAGCCTGCTGTGAGTGTGCCCATCTGATGGAGCCCGGTCGGAGCCACTGTGGAGTTGTTGACGGAGGTGCAGATGGCGCCTGTGGCATCAGATGTGACCCTTCTCTGTCCTTGACTCTCGGTTTGCTAGGCCAGCATTTCTTCTCCGGCTTCTTCTCCTGTTGCCCAGCTCTTGGTTGAGAGGGTCTGGTTGGGTGTAAGGCAGGCACCTGGACCCTGGAGTCTCAACTCCACCCCTTCCTGCTGGATGTCTCTCCTTGGCTTTTCTGTGTTTGAACAAGAAGCTCAAAAAACATCATGCTGAGGGGTGTAAGCGCAGTTCGGTAAATTTGGAGTCAATGCTGGGAGCACACAGGAAGGACAGTCAGGCAGCGGGGAAGACCACTCCTGACCAAGCCTCCCTAGAGAAATCTGAAGGGTTGCCTTGTTTACTGCGGAGAAAGGGGCCGCCCTCGCCAGCCCACCTGGACCAGGGAAGTGGAACTCTCGCCAGAAGTAACAAATGGAGGATGGTTTCCAGGGACCCAGTCGGCCACCTCTATTAATCTCTACTTCGGCCACCTCTATTAATCTCTACCATCTCCCCTATCTCTGAGCACTCTTAACATACTTTGGCTTTTTCTGTCTGCAAAATGGGAGTGCGGAGGCCACCTCACAGTGGACCTGAGGGGATCAGTGAGGTAGTGGATTGTGGACCTCAGGCTCATTGGGAGCACTGAGGAGAAAGTGTTGTTGCTGAGGAACTAACTGTTGAGGACACTGGTTCCTGGGGCCCTGGGTTGAGGAAGGATGAGATCTTTTCTTGGGCTATCCAAATTGATGCTTGGCACATCTTTTCTGAGATCTGTGGCAGCAGAATGGGGATGGGGGGGACAGTGGAGCTTGGACGGATGGGACATGGGATGACTACAGGTTGAGCAGAAGCTTCGTGGGGCTTCCCAGGCCTGTGGTGTAAGCCATTCATTGCCGGCAACAGTGTTTCTAGAAGGTCTGCATAAACGCAACTGATACGCTCTTGGCCTCCCTGCTTCCCTGTGGGTGGACCTGAAGTTTAAGGAGAGGAGAACAGTGATTTGTAACATTTGTTCCTTCGGGGTTGACAGAGATAGCTCTCTTCGTATTTCAGCCAAATTCAGTGTTCACATGAGGATTCCCTGGGTACTTTCTGGGCTGCTGGAGAATACAGTGTCGTCTGTTTTCACATGTATTAAAACAAACTTTGCTGCATCAGTACAAATTCAGAGCGTATAGCTTCTAGACCTGTCTAAATTATGTGAAGACAATTCCAGGAGAGTGAACAACAGAAAACTCAGGTTTTAAACTGAACAAGATGGCATTTGTAGTCATCAGGAGAATGCCTGTTAAGACGTTTGCAAACAAATGGTTGAAATTTAAAACTAATGAATCCTGATGAATATTAGCAGAGATGTAGACATGCACTCTATTGTGTGCTGTTGATGAAAGTGTAAGTGAGTTTACCCACTTTGGAAAGCTGTTTGGAAGTACCAGCTAGTGCTGAACACATTCTGTGAGTTGGCGACTACACTCGTTTCCCTGAAAAGGTATGTATCCTCAACTAGATGAACATAAACATTCCTCATAAGCATTTGGGAGACTATACATAGCGCTGATCAGAAACAATCCAAATGAGTCAAAGGTCTCTGTGGTGTAGATATACAGTGGAGTATTACTCAGCATCAAAAAAGAAAAAAATGGCTCTTATCCAGAACGAGACAAATTGTATAAATGCTACAAGAGAGATAAGTCCGACACAACTACCTCTTCTATGACTTCCTTTATACAAAGCTCAGAACTAGACAGAAGCAGCCCAGATGATGGAAGCCAGGACACAGCAGCCCGGGGCAGGGAAGGACTGAGGGAGGGTGGGGAATGTCAGTCAGGCTGCTCTTCCCTGGCTCCGATCTAGGTGTTGACAGGTGTTTTCATTTGTAAGAATTCATCAAGATCTGCATTGATTGAAGCATTAGTTTCTTTTATTGTGCTAACTTTCATACAGATCAGTTTTTTTTTAAAGTATAAAATCATTTTGATTTATTTTAAAGGTATTTTGTAAAAAGGAAAACCTAAGTGGTTTAAACAGACTGGATTCTGGAAAAAACATCTGTGAGACAGTGCAGGCTAGTTTTATATCACCTTAACACAAGCTGTAGTCATCTGAGAGGAGGGAGCCTCCACTGAGAAAATGCCTCTGTAAGATCAGGACGTAGGGCATTTTCTTAATTTGTGACTGATGTGGGAGGGCCCAGCCCATTGTGGGTGGGGCTATCCCTAGGCAGGTGGCCCTGGGTCCTATAAGAAAGCAGGCTGAGCAAGCCATGAGGAGCAAAGCCTTGAGCAGCACCCTCCATGGCCTCTGCATCAGCTCCTGCCTCCAGGTTCCTGCCCTGCTTGAGTTCCTGTCCTGACTTCCTTCAGTGATGAACTACAATGTGGAAGTGTAAGCCAAATAAACCCTTTCCTCCCCAAGTTGCTAATGGTCATGGTGTCTCATTGTAGCAATAGAAACTTTAGCTAAGACAGAGATTAAGTAATAGCTATCAAGTTTCTTTCTTTCTTTCTTTTTTTTTTTTTTTTTTTTTTTTTGGTTTTTCATCATTTTTTTTTAAATGGTATTTGAAAAAACGGTTCAGATATTCAGGCCTTGGTCAGATTTCCAGGCAGCCACAAAGACTTAAGGAGTCAAGCCAAACCAGGTACTTCAAAAGATTTCTACTTCTCATCACACTGGCAGACAGTTACATTTCCTGGTTTTGCCAGGAGCCTGGTCTGCCAGTTAAGTTTATAACTGCGATTCTTGTTTTATCCCCCACCAGTTAGACATTAATTACGCACCTGTGCAAAGACTGGCTGGCCGGTGTCTTCTGTGAACTCACTATTGTTTTCCTGAAGGTCTTCTAAAGGTCAGCCAAACCAGTAGCTCCGTTCTTGTCCCCTTGTGCCCCAGAGCAGCTGTGCGGAAGGTAAAAACTTAAAATGGGAAGAGGCAGGCGTGATTTTCTGTGTGTTTTGTCATCGTTCTGAACGTTCTCCAACAGTAAAGCCTGTCTAGCTGCCCACTCCTTCAGACGGCTCTCGGTGGTGATTCCTCTCCTGGCCGGTACGCTGGTTTCAAGAATGAAGTGGTTGCGTCACTTGGCCTTAGACAGTGGCTTAAACCTTTTATAGCACGAGACAGTGAGAGGTCTGTTGTTGCAGGGAACTTTTTTGCTTTAGCTCTGGACTGAACAGGCCACCATGCCCACCCTGAGACAGAGTCTAGTGGTAGAGAGGAAGGAAGGAAGCGACTCTCATGCCTCTTTGTGGATCCATTCCACTTACTTTCAGTGGGTGGAAGCCCGCCACATGGCCAAGCTGGCCAACACGAGGAGGTGGGAGTATAATGAATTCTTCCATCTGGGAATATTGTACATCATGTAACGATGGGAGGGGTATAACCTTCTTCCGGGAGGGCAGCAAATAATTGCAAACAATGTAATCTCCCATAATAGAAATCTATATTTAATTCAGAAAGGTTTAATGACCTCTATGGCAATGCTGAAACTGTTTTTAGAATTGATTAAAGTGCATTCTGAGTTTCATTTGGAAAAGGTTAGGCCTTAGAAATCTGCCTAGATTTGGAAAACAAGGACTACTCTTCGGACGGGACTGATTAATCTTTCATGAGCTGGCGAGCTGTACCCACAGCTTGGTAACTTTCCATTCATTGTTACTAGGAGCTCAGATCTGCCTTTGAACCAAGAAATTATATTTCTTAGGACTAGAAATGTAACTCAGCAGCGTACTGACTTAACATGTACAAGTCTCTCTGTTCACTCACTCCACCCCCCACCCCCGGCAAAAGAAAACCCAATCATAATTATATTTGTTATTCTCTTGGCTTTCATGTCTGGATTTTTCGCATGCTCTATCTTATGAGTCAAGTAATCTTGTTTAATTATCTATATTGATATGGTTCTGCCGTCAGCCGCTAGCTAGAGGTAGAGAGTGCTTTCAAGAGAAGGGTAGAAATGGAAGCTGGGAGATACATTAATGGAGCACTCACTAGTGGCTCATGCACAAGACCAGGGTTCAGTTCCCAGCACCCACACAACAGCAGACAATCCACATTGGGCATGGTTTCTCACTTCTAAAATTTCTCACTTCCTC